AAAAAGTTAAGTTATAATCTTTATAGTGTATATCATATATTATTCAATGGATAAGTCTTTATAATTTATACCTTCTCCACTTGCCCTTGATCTATTTGCAGCTCAGACAACATGCAACATGCTGATCCGCTGCAGCTCGACGCTGCACTCGAAGGCAGCGCCCGCCGTCATGTCCCAGCTGCAGAGCGAGATGCCCCAATCTGATCATCGTCCGGCTGCGTACGATGGACCCAGCTACGAGCGTATACTGGAGACGCGCAAGAACCACCTGACGCCCAATCTGCTGGCGCACTTCAAGAAGCCGCTGGTCATCCATGCGGGTCACATGCAGTGGCTGTACGATCACGAGGGTCGTCGCTATCTGGACATGTTTGGCGGCATCGTAACCGTCTCCGTGGGTCACTGTCATCCGTAAGCTGGAGCTGGCCGTCCTCAATCTATGATACCATATTGATGCCTTGATTCCTTCATCCTTTCAGCAAAGTGAACCAGGCGCTGAGCGAGCAAATGTCGAGGCTCTGGCACACGACCAACATCTACATGCATCCCAAGATTCACGAGTATGCGGAACGACTGACGGCCAAGTTTCCGGGCAAGCTGAAGGCTGTGTGCTTCGTCAACTCCGGCTCGGAGGCGAACGACTTGGCCATGCTGATGGCGCGTCTGCACACGGGCAACCAGGACATCCTGACCTTCCGCAATGCGTACCATGGCATGTCGCCCTATACGATGGGCTTGACGGCTCACTCGACGTGGCGCTATCCGCTGCCCGGTGTCAACAATGGCATACTGCACGTCATGAATCCCGATCCCTACCAGGGCATCTGGGGCGGCTCCGCCTGCCGGGACTCACCTGTGCAAACGACGCGCAGCTGCAGCTGCCCGCCGAACGAGTGCCAGGCCGGAGTGAACTACTACAACGAGCTGGAGCAGACCTTCAAGTACTCGCTGCCACGGGGCAAGGTGGCCGCCATGTTCGCCGAGTCGATTCAGGGTGTCGGCGGCACCGTGCAGTTCCCCAAGGGCTATCTGAAGCGGGCGGCCGATCTGGTGCACGCCAATGGCGGCCTCATCGTGGCGGACGAGGTGCAAACGGGCTTCGGCCGCACGGGCGACCACTTCTGGGGCTTCGAGGCGCACGGCTACATGCCCGACATTGTCACCATGGCCAAGGGCATTGGCAATGGCTTCCCACTGGCCGCCGTTGTCACCACACCGGAGATTGCCGCCAGCCTGGGCATGGCGCTGCATTTCAATACCTACGGCGGCAATCCCATGGCCAGCGCCGTGGGCATCTCCGTCCTCGATGTGATTGAGGAGGAGCAACTGCAGCGCAACTCCCTGGAGGTGGGCACCTACTTCCTCAACTGCCTCGAGGAGCTGCAGCAGCGCTACGAACTGATTGGCGATGTGCGCGGCAAGGGCTTGATGATTGGCGTGGAGCTCGTCAGCGATCGGGAGACGCGTGCTCCACTCGCTGCGCCGCATGTGCTGGACATTTGGGAGATGTGCAAGGATATGGGTGTGCTCTTTGGCCGCGGCGGACTGCATGGCAATGTAAGTTCCAGAACTCTGGCAACG